AATCAGTCCACATCCATGGCTTTCCACTTCCTCTCTTATGCTGGCCAACAAAGCCAACTTGAGAGAGACCTATACTGGCTGCAATTCATGGAGTAATGTAATACATTTCCCTTATTCCCTGCCAACCTCCTTGCTGCTCCTTGCTTTGGGCTGTTTGCTAAAACCTCTCAGTTTCCAAACTATTTGGAGGTCAGTATGTGTGCATCTGTTTTTGGTTATCAACTCAATTTGTCATATCTGCTTAGTATGGATGTAGTAGTAATACCTGTACAGTATACAGTGTTCTTCATTCTGAAGGACCTGAACACATTACAGACTGAAATACACAGATGTAGAGATGTGAGACATTATGGGAACCTGTGAAATGTGCCACTGCCTCAGAAGTTCCTGACTTAGTAATTGGAAAGATGTGAGACTAGGCAGGATTGTCTGGTTCTGTAGAATGTTATATCCCCCACTCACCACAGAGGCCTACTTTGGAAAATATCCTGATTTCTAGGACACAGAAATTTTTGTGTTAGAGTTAGGACAGGAGAAAATAAAGGTGTGTTGAAGGGTCCTCATTATTTGCTGGTGATTCTTCTCCATACAGGTAGTATGAATCAACAATAAAGGCTATCACATACGTAAGGCTGTATTAGAGGCCATGGAATGGCTCTGATACCTCTGTGTAGCCTACAGACATCCCAGCATATAGCCTAGTCACTTGCGTGGTACATTGTGTTTTCATTACATGATTGGGGAGAAAGTGAACACTCATAACTTCTTTAAGAAGGAGTATTGTACCCTTTTGTCCATACTGTGCCTGCCTCGACCACAGCATAAACAAAGTCATTCTGGATGCTGGGGAATGTCTTCAATCTGCTGATGACACACCTTGAAGGTAAGAAGCAAAAATAGGTGCATTCACCAATTTACCCTCTCCTAACATTGATGGGAAATCTAGAAGCCTGATCCTGCAAACTTTTACTTATGTGAGCTGCCCTACAGAAGCCTGTGAAATTACTAATTGGTCCTAATTACTTTATCTGGTTAATGAACTACATGTATAATAGGGGTGTGCAAAGTGGACCCTATTCAATTCAGGTTTGACCCAATTGGGGGGACAGTGATTCGATTCGTTCATTCAGATTACTGTCCCTGATTGGATTTGGCCGAATCTGAATCTGAAGATTTGATGCTGATTCTTCAAATCATAGACATAGCTTTAAATGTTTTTTCTTCATACTTCGAGTTACCAGCACAGCTTGTGAATGCTGCAATGCTGGGGTGAATGGAGCATCCCACAGGAGCATAGGGGCCCCCCATGTGCTTGGCGGTGAACCCAGAAGTGGACTGGAAGTAGTTCCAGTCCACTTCCGGGTCTGCTGGGGAGCATATGGGGCTCAGCAATCAGCCACAGGGAGACCCCAGGTTTCCTCCCAGACCCAGGAGGCAGCAGTTGCTGAGCCAAGGGGGCATTGGGGGGGGGGCAGCACGTTTTCCGGCAAACCCGGAGGTGGACTGGAAATGCTTCTGGTCCACTTCTGGGTCTGCTGCTGAGTGCGCTGGGGAGCCCACCATGCTTCTGTAGGACACTCCATGCTTCCTAGAGGTATGTAGAAAAAACATTTGAAGCTGTGTCTATGTCCAAATTGCCAGATCTTTCCAAATCTCTCCAAATCAATTTGGAGGGTTCTGATTTGATTCAGAGAGATTAAAGGGGCCTCTAATTCGATTCAGATTCAGAGATTTGGCCACTGAATCGGGCTAAATCTCCGCCGAATCAAATCAGGGACCAAAGCTTTGCACAGCCCTAATGTATAAGTTTCAGTGACTTGGCTGTTTATTATTAGTTAGCAATGCTAGTCTGATGTAACAGTAGCTATAAAAAACATTGAAAGTTAGCACAGCATGTACAAATAATAAATGACTTCGGATATGTAATTATATAGTATAGATATATACCTATTTAACATATAAATATGTATAACATATATCCATGTATTCATATATAATGTAACAGCAATAAAAGATATAGACAGTTATTCATATATTAAAATATTTTCTTTGCTATATTTTAAACGAATATACAGTCAGGATTAGGGAATCTATATGACTTAGTTCTTTTGTAATTGCTAAATATTAGACCCTTTAATTTGATGCAGTGACATAGCTGTTGAATATGACATCAGTAGGATACAAACAGGTTTTCATGAAGTTGCAAAAATTGCATCTTAAAGCCAAAAATATTAAATTTTATTCATGGTTAAATTTTAAAATCTTCAAAAATTCTTGAGTCTAAACATAGATCACAAGAGCTTTTAGAAGATTACCCTTTCTCAAGCTGCAAGTTTCAAAAAGTCTATTAACAGGGTTAGAGTAGCTGGATTTGATGGAATATTTCTGTCTCTGAGAGAGAGGTCAGAAATGGAAATGAGCACTTGTATCACTTCCAGCTGGCTGAACAGGGATCATGTTCCAGCAATACTACAACTAGAGTGGGGTGGTAAAAAACTGGTGCTTGGGAGGGCAGGGGCTGTGGGTGGTAAAAAACTGGTGTCTGGTAAGTAATCTGAGGTGATGGTGGTGTTGGAAGAATCATTCTGTTTTTTTAAAACTACCACAATGCAGCAGAATGTGCACCAAGAGCCAAATTTTATTCCTCATGCATCATCTGAGTACTTGCCTCTATAGAGGGCTGCTTGCTCTTCAGAGAAATCTCCCCACAGACTGTTCCATGGCTGCTGCTAAAACATCAGAATTGCAAAAGCTCCTATCACAACATTCTACCCTCTTGCATACTGGAATCACTTAGTTTTTGTTGCTTTCAGACTCTAGATATGCAAGTATTAGGATTTTCCCAGTTTTCAAAAATCGTTGCCCTCATAAAGCAACAGCAAAACTTCCATTGACTTCAGTGGAGCCAAATGGGGGTTTACGAAACACATTGCAAACTATTTGTCTTCAGAGCTGAGAAAGGAATTCATATTTTTTTATTTGACAACAGGCTAGGATCTCTGCTTTTGAAACCATTGCCAGTTTTAGGTAAACTTTGCATATGTAATGTGCAGAGATCTGGGTTTGCCATTGATCACGGAAAAACACAGATTTTCTCCTTTAAAGTTCCGGCCTACAAGGGACTGCTTGGACCTGGGGGGAGTGGGTGGAGGACTATCAGGTGGGGAGCGTCTTGTGTATGTGCATGTGCACACATGCACATGGCAGCCAGGCAGTGTGGAGAGCAGCTCCCACAGCTCCTTCTAGGTAAGTCTATGTGGGTGCAGATTGAGGTCCCCATAGGGAGGAAGGGAGGGAATGGGGCAGGGCTGGGGCTTAGGGTGCTGCCCTGCTGAGGTGGTGCATGTGACCCAGAGCTGGGATGGGAATACGCAGCCATGGGGCCCAGCTGGGGGAGCAGGATGGAGCCAGGAGTGGCACAGCAAAGGGGCTGGTTCCCTGCTGCTGTGTGGACTCCCAGAGAAGGGGCCATGGGGGGAGGCATGTGCCCCCCAGATTTGTGTCCAGAGTGGGGGCAGATGTGGGTTGCCCGCCGTGGTCTTGGGGGTCCCCCCCTGCTGCCCTCCCCCCAGGGGCCTCTGCAGCTCAGTGGGTGGGACCTGGTATGGGAGGTCAAAGAGGAAAGAGGAGGCTTGGTGCCATTGCTGGGAGCCCCACACTGGCAGTACTACCATGGTGAGGTGCCTTCTGCCTGCCCAGCAGCAGCAGAGGACACAACTCTGTACCACTGCGGTCGCTGCTGCCAGGTGGGCAGGGGGCACCTTGCCCTGGCAGCATGGCTGGTGTGGAACTCCCAGCAGCGGCACTAAACCTCCCTGCCCTCCCACACTGGGTCCCACCTGCTGGGCTGTGGAGGCCCCCAGGGGGAGGACAGCAGGGTGGGGAGCCCCAAGCCCACAGCAGGCAGGCCACATCCTCCCCCACCATGGGCTGTGCTCCGGCTGTGCCTCCTGGAGGGTGGGCGGGGGGAGAGCTGGGCTCTGTGCTGTGCTCTGGCCACAGCTGCCACCACCTCCCACAGGTGGTGGGCAGGAGGCTGCAGGCTCTGGCCCTGGTCTTGTAGCTCTGGCAGCTGGGCGCCCTCTCTGGCAGGGTTGCGGGGGAAGGGGCTGTGGGTCATGAGTGAGGGGCAGCAGCAGGGCTTGGAGAGCAGGGAGCTGTGGGTCAGGAGTGAGAGGCACTGGCACAGCCATGGGGCTGTGGGTTGGGAGTGAGGGGCACCTAGGGGGATGGGGGACTGTGGGTTAAGAGTGAAGGGCACTGGATGGGGGGCCTGTGGCTCAGGAGCGAGGGGTACCAGTAGGGCTGGGGGGATGGAGGGCTATGGGTTGGGAGTGAGTGGCACCAGCAGAGCCAGAGGACTGTGAGTTGGTAGTGTGGGGCAATGGCATAGGTAAGGGTAGGGCACTGGCATATCAAGGCTGCTCAGCACCACAAAGTATCCTGGTAAGCAAAGGGGGCAGGGGGAGCTCTGATTTTCCATGATAAAAAAACCAAATCAATCATCAAAATGTAGAAGGATTTAGAATCTACTTTATTATAATGATTGAGGCACTGGTAGGCTTCCAAACAGCTTCAAAATTGTAAATATATCAGTAAAATATTGTGTTCATCTGATGCCTATATATAGTGACGTTTCAATTTAATCACGGAAAAATGTGGATTTGGGGGGTTTTAATCAGAGAATTTGGGGTTTTTTTCTCAGAGAATTGCAATTTTTAAACAGCAGAAAAACAGGATCCCTGGTAATATGTGTAACTAGTTTAACTGAGTTTACAATTTTGCATTAACATAACTGCTTTAGAGTAAGTTTTCCCTTCTGCCTTTCAGCAAAATATTAGGTTGCTAACAACATTGAAACTTCATTCTGCTGAGCAGATCGAAAACCTATTTTAACAGTGTACTGCTAATTCAGATGATATTTTTATTTTTAATATGATGAGCTGCTGCATTGAACAGTCCAACTCAGAATATTCTTTCTCTGCTTTTTGTGTTGGTAGTTTGATCCTTTATCGATTGAAAGCAAAAAAGCAGCAACAGTGGTGCTAATGCTTAATTCTCCAGAAGAGGAAGTTTTGGCTAAAGCATGTGATGCTATATATAAATTTGCATCAAAAGGTTTGTCTTTTCATTGTTAATCTCTTTCTGTATCTTATGTTTCTTAAACTAGTTTGAGTTTTTTCTTAGTTTATTAACTTTAACCATCCTGTTTGATACTAAATGCTTCCATAAGTTTTTTGTAAAATATCTGTCATGCTGTATTTATAGTTACGAAGAGACATGGTTAGCTGTGTTAGTCTAAGTCAGGCAGAAGGTATGGCAGGGTGGCAATTTAGAAATTAAGTGGTCTTTATGTTAGAACCAGTTTGCTTCCAAGGTGCCACCCTACCCAGTCTTCTTCCTTAGTGTCTCTAGGCAGAATTCTATTTCACTTTATGCTCCCAACTGGCCGGGACTCATCTACATGACTGCCTTTTTTTGGCACTTATGCACAATTTATGATCTTATTCCACGTGCAGCGTGGAGGCGTATGTGTCCACATGCCTACTGAGCATGTACAGTAGCCTGAACTCTTGTTAGACGGGTACACCACTCCATACACATGTTTACCAGGTAAGTGGCAGTCATAAAGTTGTAGCTGATCAAAACCCTCTGACTACCTGGTGTTAGACACTGGAGGAGAAGGAGGAAGAGGGCCTGTCTAAGTTTTAGCCCAAAAGTCTATAGGGCACTTGCCCAAGAAATGGGAAACCCAGGTACAAGGCCCAGAGGGGATTTGAACCTACATTTCTGTCATTGGTGATTAAGAGAGGGGGCTAGAGAAGGGGTTGGATGATGTCTATATTGTTGCCTGGTGATTAGACCACCAAGCTGAGAAGATAGAGAGATGGGCCATGTGTTGACAAAATGAGAGGCATGTGTGCCTGACACCTTAAAGTGGGCTAAATGCTTTTGCACTGCTTTAATGGTGTTGGTGTTTGCACGCGTTGGCAGCACATTGCACATTAATTCCAGCCGCTGTAGGAAATTTGGCAGTGTAATGTGCCTTAAATAACTTGGGGCGCAGCAAAGTAAAACTCCTCTAAGGAGTTTTAGTTTGCTGCCCCTACAGTCGTGGAGTGAAGCACAGGGTTCTGTGCAGCTCAGGGTCTCTGACAGGAAGCCCTGCAGGCAGCTGCCCAGGAAAGTAGGCTCCACCCAAGAAAAGCGGTGAGCCTGATTTTTTTTTTTTTTAATTCCCTTCTGGAGCCTGTCTGCCTGCCTCAGCTGCGCGGGGGCCCGGTACTTCCCTCTGCGGCTGTGGTGCCCCCCAGGACCTCCCGAGCCGGATGTCTGTGGGCAGGTGCCACCTTGGGGAGGGCCGCCACTGCCATGGAGGGAAGCACAAGACCCCCCCACAGCCCAGGGACCGCTCTGTCCGCCAGTAGCTCGCCCTCCTCTCCCTGCCAGAGAGGCAGGTAAGTCAGCAGGGTGTGTGCATGACATGGGGGTTTAATCAGCCCTAAATTGAAGTGGTGTTTTTAAAAACCCACTGTTTCAATTTAGGGCCCCTGTTTTGTCTACATATGTCCATGTTGGTTAAAACTCCTGCTGGGAAAGGTGGACCTAGAATCTGGGTATTCTGCTTCTGGGGTGAGTGCCCTAACCTGTACAAAGTAGGCTATTAGGCTAAAACATAAGGTGACCCTCCTCATCTTTTCTTTGCCAGGCCACAATGTAGGAATTAAGGTCAGGTATGTGTGTATGAAGCTGTGCTCTGCCTGGCCAGGGCAAAGTCTACTGTGTATGTTATGTGGATTTTTATGAGTCCATACTGCACGTGGAGCAGGATTACAAACTGTGTGTAAGTGTCAAAAGTAGCATTTATGTGACTGGAAAACTGCCATTTGGGCACATAAAAGTAAAATAGGATTCTGTTCCCGGTGTCTTGCATAAATTAAGTGGTTTGAATTCTGGGACTGAATTTATAGATATTCTCTTAATGAGAATATTGTAGTTGGTAGGAAAAGATTGTAGCATCTTGGACAATGAGAGATTCTGCTTTTCAAGTTACATTTTGAGAGGATCTTATACTGGTAAATAATTTTAAAAAGAAAAATTGTTATTTTGAGCTTTTTATGTCCCTGTTTGTTTGTGTTTTGAATTTTACATTTAATTCTGTTTGCATGTTTCTCACAAGAATAGTATTTCCATAACTGAAGTATTTATGAGATCATCCAGCCTCAAATATCTAATTGATTTCTGTGTGTTTTGAAACCAAACAACTATGTCATATTCTGAATTCCTCCAGTGCTTCTGTTTTTAAAATATATAAGCAAGGCATTGTGTCTTTTGTGTGGCACATTAGACACACATTATATAGCAGGAACTCCAAAATCATGTGTTTATTCCTTTCCCAAGTTCTTTCCCAATCACTTCACACATCCCCATGCAGTCTAATCTATTACACAAAGGATATCACTGTGTTTATTAACCTATTAGTTTTATATTTAATTTGATTTATTTTACATTGTTCTAAATTGTGATGTTTTTGCATGCTCAAATGTTTGTATTGATAGAAATTGACTACATTGGTGAAGTTGTTTGAAAAAAGCTGAAGGTTTTGAAAACTAGCTAGGGAATATTTGGGTTTTCTGTAGTGCTAAAAAGTTTTTAAGCTGAGCTTGGATTTGAGTATTCCAGAAGAAGTTGAGGCTTTTAGAATTGAGAAAGTAACACAGTTAAATTTTGGAGAGGGGAAATGATTCCTTTAAATTTGGGGAAGTGGGGATGAATTTTTCGTGCCATTGTCAGGATGGCTGAGAACTCCCCCTTGCTCTCTATGGCAGGTTCTGCCGTTATGTCAAAAGGAGACAAACATGTTAGTAAGCTGTTTCTGCTAAATTAATCTTTCTTTAAGTGGTTAATGTAGTGGTTAATGTAGCCTCACAGAAAACTACATGGCAGTATTGCAATTAACTAGATGGGGATTGTCTTCATTGCAAAGTTAACTCAAGTTATCGTCACTGCTCCTTATTCAAGTCCCATTCACGCACACAACCTGATGGTGTGATGATTTTAATTAAAAATTATGGCTAGTTCCTTCCCACAATAATCCTGAATGGACAGACATATTTCCCCAAAATTCAGTGGGAAAGAAATAATAGAGTGGTTCAGCTTAGTGCAGCATTAAGAACATGGGAAACCCTCTAGAAGTCTCAATACTGTGCACGAGTGAGTGCACAACCAGCATGGCCCCCATGTGATTTCATAGCATGGCTGCTGTAATTCAGGTTAATATGAGAGGAGTAACTTGAGTATAGGTAGCTTATGGTAACACTGCAATGAAGATGTCTCTCTTGTGCATAGTTACCCTGCCCTAGCAGCACCAAAGAACATACTCTACTCAGGAAGTCACCCACTTCCTTCCCTGCTCCCTAACTGCTTTCAGAGAGGAGTCAGTAATTTCACCCCTGCTCATGGAACAGTTTACTTCTCACTGGGTGTGTCCGCATAAGACATTTACTTCAGAGCTGCCTAATTAGCTCCACAGTAAAGTCTCACTGGGTGTGTCTACATGAGATGCTAACTGTGCGGCAGCCTAATAATACTGTGCAGTAGTGCACCACAGCACAAACAGTGCTAATACGCTACTGTGCAGTATTATTAGGCTACTGCACAGTAACATCACTAAAAAGATGTTCGCCAGCACTGCTGCTCAGTAACTTTGGTTACTGCACATTTATTTAATACTTGATTATACAAGCCTTTGCCCAGCAAGTGAGAAATAGTGTCATGAGACCTCCTTTCCATCTGCCTTTGTGTTTGTTTGGTGTGAAGATAGTTTATCCAGAGAAGTACACCTTGGTGTTAAAATGCCATTGAGATTCATTGAGCAGTTTGCAAGGCTCTTGTTTCAGGTTATTGACAGACTCAGAAAGAAATTGCTGTAGCATTGACACTCTGTTCATATTTTAAGATTTTCTTCAGAACTGCAAGGGTTGGAAACTTACTTTTTTTCTACTGAAAAAGCTTAGATTCTGATGTAATGACATGACACCCTTGAGTCGGGGTCCTAGATCCAGGCCTACAGTTCTAAAACTACTCAAGCCCTGATTGTGACATCACACCCATGAACTACCAAGCTTTATTTATATGGGATGCATTATGTTCAATACTGCCGTGGGTTAGGGTTGGAATTCTATCACAGAATTTTAATTATGTAATCTTATGTTTAGACTTTTATTTTAGGTACTGTTTTTTCTTATTGAAATGTTTCTCAGCATTTGGTAATCCATGTAAAGAAATTGGTAACATATTATAGATAAATTGATATCTGTAGTATAATATCTATAATCTCTTTATATAGATTATGCAATGCAGAGAGACATTTCAAATGCAACTAAAATGTGTTATGTTAGAACAAAAATAATTTCAGTAATTTAAATAAGATTCTTAACCTAATTACTTTTTAGGTGATGAAAACAAAGTGACACTCCTGAGTCTTGGAGCAGTGGAACCTTTATTTAAACTAATCTCCCATGAAGATCCAATTGTTCGCAAAAACGCTACCATGGTATTTGGTATCATGGCTTCGAATAGTAAGATTCTTGAATTTTGAAAAGTTTTTATTGAGTTGTTATTTTTAGGAACAGAGTTGGCAGAGATCTATGGGATGTTAAAAACAAGGAAATGTTGGTACATATTAAAATATCCTGTTAATGTTTGATACCTTACTAAAATAAAAAATATCCACATGGAAAAAAGTGGAGTGGGTGGGGGGGAATTTGTCTCTGGTGTAACTCTATTGACGTAGGGTAAAAAACATTTCTGGTAGAGCTCTAAACCACTTAACATGATGTGAATGTTCAGTTTAAATTCTAACTGCTGAAAGCCTAGTATGTCTGAAAAAGCCTGAGCATATGAAACTCCTGGCTAACCAGTATGGGTAGAATACATTCTCTCCTTTCACAGAAGACAGAGAGAAACAAGAATCGGTATTTACCATCTCCAACAAGTGTCTTAGTTAAATTACAGCTAATGGTATGTCTACAGGTATATATGTACCTAAGCTAGTTTTTAACTAGCTAGCTCAGAAGCTGATAGCACTATAACTGCAGCAACATGGAGCTTACCATGGGCTACACACCTAAGAAGGTGGGTAAATACTTGGATGGTTTGTTAGTGGTCTAGCCACTGCAGGCCCAAACTACTGATACCCAGGCTCACTGAACTATGTCCACACTCCGCTGTGATTGTCCTGCGAAAATAAAAGAAATATATAAGACAAGACTGAGTTTCAGTAGACACTGTTTTTATATTTTAAACTTTTGTGTGAGGCTTCATTTCAGTATATCACAGTTTGGTAGATGACTGATACGACTGGAAAAATATGACTGATATGCCCCATGACTGGAAAAAAATCCTTCAGAGGCTGCCTTCTGCTTTCCACATCAATTTCAAGTTTCTGTTCCTTACCTTATCTTCAACTCCCCACCTGCTTACATTTTTGCTCTGATTTCTTCCTCCCCTTCTTATCCCTTTTTCTCCACCCCAAGCATTTCTTCCAATTTTCCTCTCATGGTCTTCTCCCACTTTAATCTTCATGTGACAACAAGATGCTAGGAGCTATGGGCCCTAGGCTTATGCCTGTAGTTTCTATACGTTCATCTGTCCCTTAATGAAAGGGACATCACCATATGCTATGACATACTCCCTTTTTTGTGCACTAATAATTATGTCAAGGGGGCAGAAGGTCTGAGGAGCTGACTCTGAATATTCACATCTAAGTCCTTCCTTTATGTTGTTTCAGCTTTAACTGTATCATTTCAACATTTTGACATACTGGTGTATCTCAATACAGCATCATAATTCTGTGATACTTCTGTCTGAAATAACACATTCACAAAGTTTGCTTCTGAAACTGTGGACTAAATCCTGTTTATGTACCTAAATGGCATGATGCAACTTTGAAATGGTAATTTTGGCATTTATGCACAGTTTGTGATCCAGGTTTGTGTACATAAGTGTGCACATGCCCACAAGTGTTTTCTGTGGGGCTGTATGATGAGATAGGATTGTTCAGGTAAGCATTTCAGGCTGGATAGATCCCAAAACTTTAGTTGAACAAAAAAACACAACTAGCAAATATTAAACACTAGCAAATGAGAAGGACACTTCTGTGCTTATGAGGGCACTTGCCTGGGCAGCAGGAGACCTGGGTCCTAGGTCCTCTCACTCAGAAGAGCTTAAGCTGTCATCTCAAGCTTGACGGCACGGTGCCCTAACCACCGCACCACAGATTAGGCATTTTCCAAGTGTTTCTCCTGCCCTCTTTTTGAAGCTGGTCCTATCAGAGGCATGTGGGATCAGGAAAAGCAAACATATAAAAAATTATGTTGCCCAGTCAGATGGATCCTGCCCTGGAAGGGAGAGGGTCCTGGCCTCTAAATTGGACTATTGCTTCCAGTGGGACAGAAGCTTCCCTATTGCTCTCTGTCTTATCCAGTAAATATTAAATACAAGATGTAGTGGGCCAATTTCAAGAGGAGGGCTGTAGCAAGGTCCTGGCCCCAAGGGTGGCCGTTATGCCTCCTTGTGGCCCAGTGACTCCTGCTCCACTCCAGCTTCTTGGAATCTCCTCCCTTTTCTTTCTCATCTGCCACACCTTGATGGAATTTATAATATTGCAGGAGGCTGCCCCAGGGTCCCGGAATGAGCCTCAGTCCCTTGACGGTCTTGTGTTCCACATGCTTAACTGGTTACAGTCTTGCCTTAGGCACTAAATTGCTTTAGGGGCATTAATCATATCTTCCATCCTTCCCTGTAGCCATGCCTCACAGATGATACTTGATATCACTTCGGGGGGCAAGGGCTGGCCCCAATGCAACACTTGGCCCTCTCTGGCCTCAAACCTTTGTTGGGGCTTCAGTCTTCTTGGCTTTGGCCCCTTTTCTCTGGCTATGCCCCCTCAACCTGGGTCCAGTGCCCCAGACCTTAGCTTCTGGGCTCCAGCCTCATCTTGCCCTTCTTGGGCTGCTTGGGCCCCTGGTTCTGGTCTTGCCATTCTTGGACTGCCCAAATCCCTGGTGTCCCTGACCCAGACAAGGCTTTGCATCCCAGTCTCTTTAAGGTCTGATGCCTTTGTAGGGCTCTGTTCTGGGTGCCTCTCAGGTGCTCCTGTAGCCTCCATACTAGCCTTTTAACCACAGTCTGGTCCTCTGGTCTTAGACTTAAATGTAACACAGATATAAGCAAAATGCTTCCTAAACTAAACTTTACACCCACTCTGGGTCAGTTCCCCATTTAAGTCCTACTTCCTCTTTAGTGGCTCCATCTAGCTCCCCTGGGTAGCATGGGTGTCTGTGAGCCTGTTTCCTGAAGCCCTCTCTTCCAGGAGCTCCTTCCCCCACAGCATGCAGGGTCAGACTACTCCTTTTTGCCTCAGGCTCTGGGTTTATATGCCTCTAAGCCCCATCCTCCTTTTGGTCATGTGGCTCCCCAGTCACACACAGGGGCTTCCCTTTTCCTAATAGCCAGTCTGTGTTCCTCTGCTGCAGTCCCACAAAGCAGGCTTGGCTTGCTGTGCTCTCTACTTAAAGTGACAGGAGCCTCTGGCTTCCTGTCGCAAGGGCTAGAGGGGAGTCTAGATAATGCCTGACCTGTGGCCTGGTAACTGCACTGTTAAACTGATGTTGTAGCCACAGTGGTCTAGGAATTATGCAAGAGTCAAGGATTTCTTTGGGTGATATCATTTATTGGAACAATTGCATAGTTGAAATAGAGTCACACAAGTTTTTGAGTGCAAGTTATTCATCTTGAGGTCACAGCTGGCTTTTCTTCTCAGACCCTCTAAGCCCGGGGGATTTCTTTGCTCTTATAAAAGGTATCAACCAAAGCAATCTTTGAATTATAACTTATAGCACTTTCCTGGAGCTGTAGGTTTACACCCACTCTGGGTGAGGGTATCCCTAGATCTCTTGCTTCCTAAAGTGAGTGCCCTAACCACTAGACTATTGGGCTATACTGTGGGAAGGCCTCCCTTCCTTGTAGTTTGAGATGCTACAAGACACATGCTGGGAACAAAAAAAACCTGTTCCCTCAGCACAGACTCTAAATTTGATACTGGGAAATTCTGGTATCAAAAAATATCCTGCTGGGAAAAACAGGTACAGGGCACACTCCTGGAATGTGTCTTGAGGCTGGGTCCTCCAGAGAGATGCTCTAGGATGTGGACAGATTGTCTGTAGGCCTGCCGCATGCCCCTGCTGCTCCAGCATGCTGCCTCAGTGCGCTGGGGCAAACAGGAGTGGGGCAAGGTTGCAGCAGCTGCTCAGACACAGGCTCCATCCAAGGTAAGTATGGGCGTGGGGGTGGGGGGGACTGTGGGGTTGGGGGGACTGCTCATGAGACCCCCAGCTGCATGGTGCCACCTGAGACCAGGGGCTGTATATGGTGCAGGGCACTGGCACAGCTCACTGGCATGTGCTTTCAGGCAGGTCCAGGCTGCTTTTGCTGTCACATGGGGCTCCTGGCACTGCATGCAAAAGCTGCATGCTCTTGGGCCGGGTTGGATCCTGCCTCCATGTGCCCCACGTGCTGTTGGGCCAGGCTGGCTCTATGCAGGCAGGACCAGACCTGGCCTGATAGCATGTGGCTTCTGTGTGTAGTGCTGGGAGCCCCGCATGGCAGCAGAAGCAACCTGGCTCTGTTTGAGAGGATGTGCCAGTGGCCAGGCCAGCACCATGTGCAGCTCCCAGTCTCAGGTGGTGCTGCATGCTGCCGGGGCTGTGGCTGCAGCAGGCCATGAGTGCCCCACTGGCCACTGCTGCAGAGAGGGGGAGGAGGCGCGGGGGGGGGGGGGCTGTGTGCTGTGCAGAAGGGGACTCACCCCTCCCAAGCAGTCCCTTCCACCCTCACAGTCCCCCCACACCCAAAAATCACCTTCACAAGCCCCAAATCCCCCCAAACCTCACATACTCTATGCACACTCCTACACCCCTTCCCCCCAAACCCCACATACCCACCACAAAGCTCACACCCAGGCAGGGTGCCCAGCTTCCAGGCAGGATGGAATCTGCTGGTGGGAGCCATGGCCTTGACCCATGACCACACCAGTGCTGGGACATGTGGCCCCAGCTTGGGGGGCTCCTGGGGCCAGGAACCACTTGCAGGGTGTGATGGGCTTGGGGTAGGGTTGGAGGTGACAGCAGGAGTGAGCGAGAGAGAGCACCCTCTGTAGGAGAAGCTGCCAGAGCCGGGCTTAGAGCCACCCTGCCCCACTAGAGTAACCTGTGCAGGGGGAGGTCGGCCTGGAAGGGAAGGGGTTTGCCCAGTCAATGGCTT